ATGGTAGTAATGAATTTAAACTTTCGCTTGTCTGTATCTGATGTTCTGTCAGTACCACGTTTAACGACGTAGAATCATTTCACCAAGCGCTATAAAAGTTGAAGTAACGGATCCTTGCGCACCCAAGTCGTGATGGGAGATATATGTGCCGTGCATACTTTGGCTTCTTCGTAGTATTTCGCACTTGCACGACAGGAAATGACATTTGTCACAAATGGCACCAGGATTCAAGCGATGATCAGTTATCGTGACACTTGATCACCCTGTCCACGGTATTGGCTCAGTGTAACACTTAGTCAACGGGATAGTCAATTTTTTCGACGGACGGAGGTTTCAGACACTGGGTGAACACCGAGAAGATATCCAGGATGACAAAGCAGGTCAGGCAAATAGATTCGAACCGGTGACCTTATGACTTCAAGCCAGACGTGCAGAACACTCGGCCACCAGGCTTCCCGGTCTCTTTTCAGATTTGCAAGCAGTTTCGCATTGAAATCTTTGTGAGTCTCCTTGTGTTCGCTATCAGCTGGAACACGTTGGCAAGCATCTATAAGATCCTGAGACTGCGTAGGGACCCAATGTCCAGGTTGGCGATTTGATTTGCCACATTAAGACATACTCGCTGCTAACAAAGTCTGCCGGATTTTCGACCAGTGATGTTCGATTGCGTTCGATGAGCGCTTATTCAGCTCGGATGCCAGCGTCTTCAAGTTGTGCACGAAACTGTGCTTGTACATTTGGAACACGAGTATTTTAACAATTCAACTAGCTGCATTCACGACAGCACTCTAAAATTAAACCTGTGATACTTGTTATGTGAAACGAAATATTGAGTGGCAATTTCAATTGTGGGCTTTACAACTGTGAGAGCGGCAGCAATTGTACGTCCGCCACGGACAGCAAAAGTAATTGCTACACCGCTGTATCCACGCCAAGTACACCCCCATTTGTTTAGGCACGCCATTGGGTCAAACGAGGGATCCTCCAAGTCGTATTGGACAGCTATTTGGGCCTTTCTGGCATGCCAATTAAATTGGGTTTGCTGTAGGAATGGTTGCGTTTAAATCTAAAGTACAGCTTCCGAACCGACTGATGTGAGCTCCGAACTTGACAGTTCAACTTCCAATCGGGTAACGAGTTAATGCGCCAGTTCACTCAAATACAGCGTACAAACGTCGCACGGAGACGGTTTCCATTAGACACGCGATTCATTTGTTCAGCTTCAATGACGAAATCTTGTCTGGCAATGAACGCGTTTGCGAACTCGCATCTGTGCATCTATCAGTTCCTCTCACTCTTGTAAAAGGCTGACGTGACATGCGCAGTAATTTCCTGTACACTACTGTTCAACTATCCACGCTGATATCCCATACTGTGATACATCTGACGGTTGCATCACACCCGGCAAGCTCACTTGGTCCTACAATGCGCTTTCCAAACATACTAGTTTTCTGAACAGAACAACTGTATCTACATTATCTCAGGCTGATCATGAAAGAGTACGGCGCAGCGAACACTGGCACGAAAGGCACCAAAAGTTGAACATATCACTGGGGCATGGCTCACTGGAAATCGGTCCCGTGTCACTTCCTTGCGCTAGACATCAGATATCGCTTCAACCCCCGTACGAACACACAAACTTACGTATGTGCATTCATATTTTGAAAACACTGTGAATACTCACACGTCTCTACGCGCTGCCAATGACGTGCTATACAACCAGATTCCTAAAAAAATAGGCCAGCAACGTGATCAAAATGTCAATTTTTTCTCGACAAATAGGAAAATGTACACGCATACGTCGAATAGCATTACGACATCCCATAACGCTGATATCCTTGGTGTCTGCTTTGGCAATGCGTTCAAGGAACTGCAGCCTCCATTCCATCTGCGTCATGAGTTTCTGGGGATCCCTGGCCAGAAGTTCCTCGTAATGCACTCTCATCTCATTCTTCACTGTGGCCTTCACCACCTGCCAAACATTTTCGATCAGATTGAGGAACGGAGAGTATGGGCTCAACCTCAGTGTGGTTACTTCCTCGTATCCATCTACTGATGACAGTTCTTCCAGTCGTGTATGATATGGTGCATTATCACATACCACGATAACCTGCCGGAGCTCCATCACCCGTTTCAGATTGTCTAAATAGCTTCGCAGCCATTCGAGAGATAGGTGACCTGTGAATGAGCCTCTCCCTTCTATTGTGGGTGCACCGATAGAATGCAAATTGAGGCCTCCACTGTTGGCAACTTTGCAACAGGCCCTCACTCATCTGGGCGCCCGACAACGAGTACGTTTGCAGTAAACGTTGAATTTCGTTTCGTCAGTCCACATGAAGAACTTGCCATAGTTCACAAGTTGGAGAAACTGCTGAACGAATTCCCTGCTTATCCCTTTGGTTCGCTCATTGTTCATTCCCTCGGGAACCTGATGGACGTTCTCCATAGTTATCAATCAACTATCTAGGTACCGTGCGATTGTTGACTTTGAAATGTTGTTGTCCATTTCCGATCGTACTCGTACTCGCATTTCCCGTAGCTTAAGAGTTGAGTCCTTTGCGATCCAATCCAGGATGTCCTCTACGTCTTCGACAGAATCCGCTTATGACCGCGCGCCTGCGTAGTGCTCGGCTCCTGATCAAGAGAACGACGAATCCAGGAATAGACTGTTTAATGTTTTACGTTGTTCACAGTTGCCACCATTTGCCAGTCATCACCGCCCAAAACTCGGTCACGAATGTCTGATGAGATACTGTCGAACGCAAGAAGGCATGCCGAAGACGTTAGTATCATAGACATGGTTTCGTTCGTGCGCTTATGTTCCAGCTGTTCATTGCTCTCACGCCAGTTGTGATCCACTGTTTCTGACGTGGGGGTGGATTGTACAAGCCCGTTGCCTCGCCGAAGTGCATACCTGTAAGGTTCATTCACAAATCTCACGCAGTCAACGGGCAGGGCGCTCACCTTCCCAGACTAACGCACCGAACCTTGGAATCCGGCCAACGAGAACACACTTTAGGTCAGAGGATTGGCTCTGAGCGGCTGGCAAATCGCACAGGGTTTTGCAACATTTTGCACTTTCTTTGCAAAATTTTGCGCATTCTTTGCAAAATTTTGAACTTTTTATACAACTTTTCGGGTAATGCTATAGACGCCGTACGCGAGCACATAGTTGCCACCTACTAGCGGAGCTGATCACTATTCGGCTCCATTATACCTATCTGTGTACGCAAAAGATTTTTGTAAAAACCCTCTATTCGCCTTGGCCGCAAGCCGCCTCGTATAAAACTGATGATGGTACCATCTCCCACTGTCTTAACACAAGGAGGGCGCTCACATGACTATATTTAAAAGGACTTGAAAACTGATAGCTCGGGTTCATCGTACCGGTTTTCACGTGCTCACCGAGCTTGGCAATTGGGTTGTGAACGTGCGCTATTGTGTCGAGAACGATCACGATGATTTGGTCGTCGCTCTGTCGTCAACGAGCAGGTGACTTTTGAATTGGCCCATTTGATTTGTGCCCCGTGACCTTCATTCGTTTGCTAGAGGCCTCTTGTAGACTTGAGCCATCCGTGAGATAGGTTCTCTCCGGTTGTTCCGCTTGGTCTTCTGTTGATAATTTGTCTGACTGCCAGCGACAGTTTTCCAACCGTTTGTGTTCTCTCGATCTGAGCGTTCGGTACACATGTCGATATGCATGTTTGTCAATTGCTTCGAGGAATTCCCTTTTCGTATCTCTGCCCATAACCTCCTATTCTCCTGATGCCATCACTCAATGTCAACAACCGGCTTTCCCCCACGCAACATACACAAAGGTGGACGTAATACACTCAGGGACATCTATTCCTATTGAACTAGCTTTTCATAACGCACCCGCATATCCACTAGCAATACCGGTCGATAGCGCTGCCATTTCGGAATGACTACCCGAATGAATATCCGATCGGACTTCCTTTCACATTCTTGCCCGACGCGCGCGCGCGCGCGCGCCAGTGCCAGTGACGCATTGTCCAATGTCCACCTCGTAAACCCAGTCCTCTCTTCTAACCTTACTGTTACATGTGTTCAAGGGTGAGGTCAATAAATAATGTGTCAGCTGTACACCGTAACGGTGCTTCGCTGCAGCGCGACCACCACCAGTCGCGCGTGGGTTGTGTGTACCGCGAAGACGCCCGCTGCTACGCGGATTCGAACCTGTGACTGTATGATTACAAGCCAGGCGTGCAGACCATTCGGACACCGGCGGACTTCCAAGTTAGATATTCCTGCCCAACACTTCGATGTGCTATCCCAACATTTTCTCTAAGTATCCTCTTTTTATCACAGGTTTGAATCTCCGTAATCTCGTCAATGACGACGAGGCCTGTTGCGCCGCGTTTACTTTGTTACTTTGTTGTTAGTGCTAGTACTTCCAGCCAGCTGTACTTGTTAGGCTTTCACTTCCACTCATTATCGCCCCCACGTAAGGTTAACGTATTTCGGGACTCTGTTGCACCTGTTTAGTTGTATTCCAGTGTTTGCGCTGTTCCTTTTCACAACGTTGCGCATAAATTTACTTCCTGGTGCAAATTTTATGAGCCTCATTTCATGCTATTTACCAGCTGACGCCCCGTGGTTCGTGTTGCAGTGCTGCTGCTGCTGTCTCTCCACCTGATAAGCGTGAAACCGACCGTGGACTGCAACGTTGCGAGCGAGCCGGAAACACTTCACATTCTTCTAACCTATAACTGTCTTGTATTCGTTCTATCTGTTTCATCACACGAAATGAGAGTCATTCATACTTACTTGTTTTCTTTTTTAACAACCTCTTTCACTTTCCTTATATTTTGATCTGCATAGTCAGCATACAGCGCATACAACTTACTCGAGCGTTTTTCGACCCCATTACGACGTATCCTTTTAATTCACTCATACTTTCCTTCGTAATTTATAATATTTTTTCGTGTGTCGATGCGTACATGTGTGTGACCAGCATGTGTTCATTTATTTTACGGCAGCTTCTGACTGGTCTTTGATGCGATTGGACTCTGATTTCGGATCATGTGGTCAGTCTCGCTCCATTTCTCCTGTGGCTTCCAGTCTGTCTAACACCTCTGACGATGATTCTACATCTACCACCGAGGGAATAGCTCCCACTGAGAGTCATCGCTCCAGCCTTCCAAATAGTATGGACTCTCCTGTACGCCCTGATCCGGCCGATTGTTCATCCGTACGGGCTTCTCGTGTTCAATGCACGGCCGGCCATTCATCTCGCCTAGCATATCCACGTGGTACATCAGCTACGCTGGCTTCGCTATATTCAAAGCCGGATTATCCTGATCCAGTGGAGTCTCGCCATTCTTCCGCAAGATGGAACGCAGCGGTTCATGCTAATCGTCGTCGATCTCATCGGACTAACCAAAATGTGGACGCTCAACGCGCGAAATGTTTGCGCAGAGGTCCCAAGATCAATTCCGGCTTTCAGCGCAGACAAGTTTCACTCATGGCAGGTGGCCAATTGCCTCAGGGTCGCAATTTCACGACGCTGAAAAGTTAGTCGCTTCTTTCGCAGCTGTGTGCTTCGATTGCGTGCTCGCGTAGCGTAGCCCACACACAGACGGAGCTCCATTTAGCGATTCTATTCACCAATTGTGGACATGTTTTTCCTTCGTTGTTGTCTCTAAAACGAAAACGCAAAATACACATCACTCGTAATCATGGACAACCATTACTACTTTTTCACCCTTCACTGTTCTGTGGCGTTAGTTGTTTTTATCTACCAGTATTTCAGTTTCTCTGTTATTTTTCTTTATTCTCTGGATACTTGTTACTGCACGCTGACTTCAGTCGAATCCAAAAATTGCCAAAAATTAATCATCCTTATCAGTATACTTTGTTATAGCTCGTCGCTAATTTTTCGTAATTTGGTTGTATTTTTTTGCATTGTTATGCCTTTCGAGCAACTCGCTCTTTGTAACCGCTCACTTTCAGAACACGCATCTCATTCTTTGTGTCCTATTATTTTCGTTGACGTATATAAATACTATCTTCGGTAGCTTTATTTGTGGGTTCTTTTTATCGTTATTACTCGTATTCAGCTGTTCAGTCGAATTGATGTGAAATGAACGGTATTCACATATAGCAATTTTTTGCAAGCTGATGCTAAACCTAGTTTTCTAAGTGCAAGCACTCTCTTCTCATCCTCACGTACCATGTTGCCGCCAGCTCAAGATTTTTAACTATTTGCGCCTGCATGTTAGCATCAAATCTCCCACTGGGGCTAAGCTTCTCCTTCATGTTGTGATGATAACGAGTTAACTTTCCACATTTCCGCGGAGACCGTACATTAGAGGGGGCAACAATTTTTCAAGCTAACCTCCAATTTCTCTCTTCGACGGGGTGTGTATCGCAGAACTCGATCCTTCAGCAACAAACGACCTATGAAATAAAGCAATCTCAGCATAACTAGAAAGCTTCGATGTACGTAAATAGGTCGCTTCCACAAGTAACGACGTTTCTGTATTCATGAAATCATTCCTTTGCTTCGGTTGAACAAACCCCAGCACAGCCAACTAGTAACCTGTCAATGTTTGTGGCAAACTGCTCGCTTCGTTGCGTACATTCGTCTCGTCTTTCCGATTGCATGCTCCCATCACATCTTCCCCTTTTCTGTGACCAGCCACATCGTCTTTGCGGATAACTCTATACGCCCTTTGAGACCTCGCCGTGTGTTGTCGTGTGCCTTTCTTTAGGTTCACCTTTCCTCCACGGTGTCGCCTCCGCTGTACTCGATTCATGCTGATTATTTTCACTCCAATCGAAAGGCCGGGGGCTCTTGTTCGCTTACCGGTGTAAGAAACAGGACGTTCGTTAGACGGAAGCCTGTATCGTCCTTGGAATCTGACCTGACATCGTAAGGTTTTTCTTCGACGGAGATAGCACAACAAACGGAATAACACGGTGTAGGAAGTATACCCTTTACTGGTCTAACGACGTAGGTGCATCAGTTGGAGGATAACGAATTGATTATGAGGTACTATGTAAAAGGGGGCAAGTGAATGCATACGATACGAACATCACGGTCGCTACATTTTTCTTCCATCACCCTTGTCGGTTGAATCCACACTTCCTCTGGTAGCGCCCGGGTATCGCGATCGTAATACCGTTTCTGAGTGACCATTCATTTTCTTAACCTACTTTGCAGTTGCTCATGCGATGGTGAAACTGGATGTAAAAGTGCAGTCGCCTCTGGAATTAAAGTTTGCTTCCTTCTGCTGTACAGACGTTGCACCGTACTGAGTCCGATGTTTGATGGCGGCGTGTTGCGAATTTCCAACAGCATCTGACACGGGTCATCGTGAGTAGCTATAGCCTTCGACGACATCCTCTTGGTTTGTTTAACTGCCGCCTTTGCTTGTTCCTCAGACTGGCTATGATTCAAGCTGGTCTATCGATACGAGAATTCCCACTTGTTTGCAAAGGTCTGGAACGCGGCACTTATGAACTGGTGTCAGTTGTCAGAGACCAGCTTCTCGGGCATTCCATGTCGGGTGAATTGACACTTGAGCCTACTGATAACTGCTTCTGTGCTGGTAGCGGTGAGTAGAGCATTCTCGAAGTAGTCAGTATAGTAGTCCACTGTGATGAACTAGTCTTTCTCTTTTTACAGCATAAGCCCACCATTACCTTCTTCTATGATCTATCTGGAGCTTCACACAGCATCATTGGCTCCCTGGCCTGACACGCTTCACGTGACCGGTAGACTGAACAGCTTGATACTTGATCTCGCATTTGATTCGTCACCTCGGGCCGAAACATATGCTAATGATGTAGTTAACCCCCAAGTGGTGTCGATAGGTGTGATCTACCGTCGTTTTGCGGAGCGATGGTGGGACCAAAATGCGATTTAATTTGAACAACAAGCTTTTATACACCTTGAGTTCATCTTGAAAATTGAACAGTGTTAATTCTTTTGAGAATTAGTTATTTGAATCTGACCATCCTCTTGAGATCTAGTCTTACAACACCGTACACATCGCATCTACCTCCGTATGGCGTCTTATATTTTTCGGGCAATCTTCCGTTACCGCCAGCTGTTTCACCTGTTTTCTTCTCTTCGTTTCCTCCTGCTGCTGTTCGACCATCGGAAGATGAGCTCTCGACGGAGTCTTCACAATGAACATCTGCGTCCCCGGGGTGGGCACGAGATCCATATTGTATTTTTGTACTGGATAAGCTCGCGTTGAAGTCGTCGAGGGACACTACAGCTGTCTACTGAGTATTGACACTTGCGGTTTCTAAACAGTATACACGGTGGTCTTCTTGAAGGTGTGATTGTTGAATCGCTCTATCGCTTAGACATCCTCGAGTATGTGCTTTACAATCTGTGCATGGCGCTGCTCCGCCACTGTGGGCATCCGGTTGCGGAAATCCAAAGGTTTTCCATCCTGAATGAGAAGCGCGCCTGTTTCGCCCTGACCACTGTCTCGTTACACGTCCAAAAGCAGATCTGGAGTGTAGTAGTCGAGTACTGGTGTATTGCCGATAAGATGCTTGATAGTCATAAAAGCGGTCTGATGCTGTTTTCTCCAACTGCATTGTGCACCTTTGTGAGTCAGTATCCGGATGGGCGTCATGATTTCAGCTAGTCTTGGCAAGAATTTATTCAAATAGTTCACCACGCGGTTTAAACTACTAACAAGCTTTACGTCCTTAGTTTGTGACGTTTCTTGCATTACCTTGATTTTTACCGGGGTCAGCCTTGGTTCTATCTGTCAGGACTTGCCCATGAAAATCACATCCAATTTTCGGAGGCTTTATGTTTTAGACATGTAGTTTGTGCGCAACACTGTAAGAAGTGTTGGAGATTGGCGTCATATTCTTGGTCGGTCTAACTGTAAATTAGCACATAGGCACAAATGTTACCGTCTTGGTCGTCAACAACTTGCAGCCACTGTTTCTTTAACGTTTTACTTTAAACAAACCAAACGGCAAAAGTATCCAGCACAAACGGCCGAAGGGTGTAACGCAAGTTGCTAGGAATCTGGATTCTTCACCTAGGACCACGTGCGAGAACGCCGCTGATTGATCAGCCTTGGTGTAGTACTTTGCTTTATTTAATTGCAGCTGGAAATCTATTGTTGGCAGCATAGAAAAAAATAACTTGTTTATTCGCGGCAAAAGAGCATGGTCATGGTGATGCAGTCGTGTACAGGACAATGATCATAAGCTGATCGGAAAAATCGGGAGTTATCCTCTTGCAATGATCTGGGTGGATATGCGTGGCAGTGAAATGTGCGACGGAATGTGTTGTTCTGATGCAAAAGGACTCGCATCAGTGTTGCATGACCAGATGTTTCGGAAGAAAGAAAATCGTCGAATCCCATGTCTTAAGATTCGTGAACGAATCTCTTATAAGGGTCTAGGGATTTATTTCTAGACCAAATCGTGTTAACGAGTAGCATGTATTGGAATGATTGCACTGATATGGATCAATTTTACTTAAGAATTGTGGTTGCCTTTTTCATGCTCCTCCACTTCATTGGTTGTCCACCGCGACACTTTCCAAACGCTTCCGAGAAGCGTAAATAACGCACGTTGGTGAAGGCGATAAGGTAGCATGCGTAGTGCCTAGCCGAGCCAACGCATTCGGTGTCGGGGTATAACGTTTTGGAGGCATGGGCTGTTTGTTCGAAGCACTTGGTCTCGGACTCCTGTATTTCTTACGCGAGTTTGCCACCACATACTAGGAATCCTACCCAGACAACGATTGTTTTCCGACTGAATAAATCAGATCTTACAACCGCATGGACAGAGGCAGTGTACACCCTATCTCTGAGTTTGAGACTGACAGCGCAACGACGCCATAAGTGTCTCCGTCTGATGGATGTAAGACGATCCGTTGTGAACTATCATCTTCAACACCGCCACCAGCCATGATGCAACTCCTTAGATACCTGAAGCAGGGGACTTTTTCCATGACATCACCAGCAATGGTGAGGGCAAACACAGCCATCTGTCAATCCTGTAGTAGTATTTTACATTTGCCTGGGGTGAAATACTTGCCATACTTAGACGCCTCTGGTTCTAAGCGGGTCAAATCGATCTGGACGGCATGTGGATCATCCCTAAGCAAAGCTACATGACCAGCATAGCCCAATTTCGCGCTGCTGTCACCTGGGAGAAACTCAATACCGCAGTTTTGGACACCTTCCAATGCTCGTTGGACGACCTCTTCATTGGCAAAATTGCAGGTAAAAGTTGAAACAGGACAACATTAGCGAACGCCCCTGGCGACAGCAGACGTGGAAGAAAGATTGTCGTAAGCCCTGAATTTGCCCTACGTATGACTAGAGTTCATTCAGGATGGTTCCAAACTTGTCGGGCACACGTTACCACAACGTAGGTCTATCTACAGAATCAAATGCCATTCGGATGTCCAAATACGCTACCATTGTTGGCCGTCGGTGGGCATGACGGAGTTCAAGTTGGCGGAGTGTAAAGATTTTGTGGATGCACCTGGGCCTGGACGAAAATCGACTTGTTCCTGTAGAGAAA